TGTCAGCACCCTTCCAGAGCCCAACTCCCCTCCAGCCAGTGTTGTGGCCACCACAGGGGGCAAGGTGTCCTGCCTCTTACAAAGTTTGTCTTCTAATATCTGAACCAAAACCCATCTCCTTGAAGCGTCCACCCATTGGTCCCGAAGAAACCCACCTGGGCCACCTAGGACAGGCAAGTTCACATGCCCCCAGGCTCCTCCTGTCCTTCCCTACAGCTCTTCTAGGTATTTCAAAGATTCCCTCCACGTCATGGGCTTCAGTTCCCATGCCTGTGCTTCTTGCCCCCATCTGAATTGATCTTCACTGGTCTATCATCATCATAGAGTACAGAGCCCAGATCTGAACATATGACATTTTCCTAAAAGCAATTCATCCTGAACAAATCAAATCCAATTTAAAATCAAGATCACCAATATTTTAATATCCAATGTTCTCAAGGGTCTATTAAGTAGGAGTACAAGTAGAAATGGGATATGCTAATTTCTTTTTTTTAAAAACGTAATGACCACCTGTACCTTTTTTATGGTACGGCTAGAAGACGTTGGCTTCTATGAGTCTTGTTCTTCTCAAAGTTAAACTCAGTGAGAAAGTGTCTACTTTTGCCCAAAGTTAGCAGCCTCAGATCTGAGTCCTGGGAGCAACAAGGCATCCATTACCTTGTTGGGGCACTCTGCTTTCAACGATACATGAGGTCACTCTCACAAAGTCAGAGCTCACGGCCCCAGCTTGTACCTCACACCTCCTGTATAGCACAAGGATGGGGTTGGATTATTTTAAATTTCTGACTCTTTTTTCCCACCCCCTACAGGTTCTTTCTTTATTTTAGACAGAGAGAGAGAGAATATGCAAGCAAGTGGGGGGAGAGGGAGAGAGAGAATTCTGAAGCAGACTCCCCACTAATCGTAGAGCCCAACTCAGGGCTCGATCCGAGGACTCTCAGATCATGACCTGAGCTGCAATCAAGAGTTGGCTGCTTAACCAACTGAGCCACCCAGGCGCCCCTAGTTTTTGACTCTGCAAGTGATACTAATAGTTCTAGTTAAGTCCAGTGACTGGCCTGATCATCCAAACACCTCCAGCGCTCACACATAAATGCACACACCTGATCAAGTTAGGACGTCAGAACTCAAAATGTTTATAAAATTAAGGAATTATTTTATGTTATACGTATAAAGAACATAGTCTCTGCTTCTATAATTTACTAGATTCACTCCATTCATTTTAAGTTATATATATAAGCAGATGACTACTCAGCTTAAGTTAGGTCATAGCGCATTCTTCCGTCGAGTGTAGAGTTTACCACCGCTCTGCAGCGTCAGAGAACTAGGGCAATAACTGTGAATGCTGGTCCAGCGAGAAACTCGATGGCTGGGATGCCCTTATTTCTGTCAGGTGCACCAAGAGCCCCCATGTGGACAGTGTTTCTGGCTTTTGCAGCAGCGCAGATCCTGAGAATGTTATACTGTTAGCTCGTACTTTCTGGACAAACATGGCACCAAGGTAAGAAATACCTGGCACCAGAATCTTGGTGCTTGGCTGAGCGTCTAGGGCTCCTGTGTGGAGCACCTGGCTGAGGAATGGTTCGGAGGTACACTCAGGAAGCTCTGACCATGCCCCTCAGCTGGGCTCGGGCCAGGCACCCAGAAAACAACGGTGGCTAGCACACACCTCTGCCCTCTTGCGGGGCTTCTGGCCCAGTGCACTTAGTCAAGGGTCAGAGGCACAGACTTCTCCAGGGATTTCTCAGAGACACGGTCAAAGGCATGAGCACCGCCTTGCTTCTGCTGCTTCATCTCTACCTTCTTGCCGTCTTTGCCTTGGAGGTGGACGCATGTGGCTGGTGCCCTTTGGCTTCTGCTAGGATTTAGTCAAAGAAGGGGTGAGGCAGAATCAGGGAAGGCAATGAAGTTAGGGCGGTCCCCCTGGGTCCCTTACCCTCCGGGTCACCACAGACGAAATAGGTCCCTCTGTTGAAGGTCATAGCTCCTAACCTTGCCCAAACAGCTCTCTGTCTGGGTCCTGATAATGTTGCCTGTTACACTCCTGGGGCTCTGCACCATCCCATAGCTCTTCCCACACCTCTGCAGACAGTCCCATGGTAAACTCCCCTCAATGACCCAGCTTGAGGGTGCTATGTTTTCTCCCAGGACCCTGACTAAAGTAGCTTTCAATGGAATTTTATTTGTCTTATACTCTGAAGACGTTTGAATCTAGTCATTTGTTCCAGCAGGTTATGTCAAAAACGATATAACTCAACTAATTTTCAAACACCTTGTAGAGAATGTTTGATATCCACAATTTCAACTTTTCACTGAGGTCAGTCAACAAAGAATACAGTGGAAACAACCAGTCATAGAACTGGTTGATGAACATATAGAACAGGAAAGAGAAACAAATATTTTCTTATAATTAAAATTGAACAATATCCTCTAAAAATAAAACATATACAACTAGCTTTAATTTCAAGAACAGATGTTTAGACAGTTTACGCTCTTTACTTAAAGGAGCTAATAGCTGTTAAGACTATTACAAAATATTTTGTATCATTAAATCTAAAATGACCTCAATTCTCAATTGTAGGTTGCCTTATGACTTCAGAGATGTTAAAACATGAAAAAAGAAAGTGTACTTTAGAAATAATGAAATATAGTGCCTCTCACAAAAATGACTCATTTACCATCTTGTATATAACATTTCCTAGGAAAAATGATACCTTTTCTTTTTTTCTTTTTATAGAGAATCTGTTGCCTTATTTCCTACTGGAAAGATGTCATGACGTTGGTATTACAGACACAATAATCTGTGAACTAGGAAGTGAGGGGCAGCTTCCCTTCTGATCACTGGTGTTGAATTTCTGAACACACGTCAACCATTACTCATCATCCATGCTTGAGATACTGTGGTGATTTCTAATCTGGGTGTTTCTATGGTGACTGGGAGTCCGTCTTTCTGTCTGCGTCACACCGCAGCAGTTAGGCCCTTTAATGAAAGGGTCCAAGGATGTTTTTACGTTGAGGATCTGTCTCAGCCTTATTATACACTATTGCTCAGCATAGGATACGATCCCAGTAACTCAGGAAATGGGCTGGGAGCTTCTCAGGTGTCCACCAAACTCACGGACACATCTCAAACCTCTCTTGAGTCATGCCTGGCTGACCGGGATGCTGGTTTGAAGCCGCGGTCCTATTAAACACGCAACCACTGATTTACCTGAAGGCTGTATCTTACTGACACAGTTGTCACTCCGTCAGGAGGTGGGTAGGATATAAGCAGAAAGTGTAAAATATGTGTAATGGTGTAATGTACTTACAGGTGGACCTGATCATCAGTTTCTACCAAGTGGTGTTTCTGAAAAAAGTTGTCCAACAGAAACACGATATACCCAGTAAGATGGTTATCTGTGACATGGATAGGAGGCCTTTTCCTACAGCAAACCTTCCTCTCCCCTGGGGTACATGGGGTGAATGTCACCCAGACTGATGAGGCTCCAGGCTTCTTCCTGGTTTTACCCCCAACCTCCCGTTCGGGTAGGGCATGGCCACCAGTGTACCTCTACAACCGGATGCTCTCTGTTAAAGAGGTGTTTGAAAGTCTCAGCAATGCTGGGCATCTGTAGCTCATTCCTTTCAACTGGGAAGGTCAGAAATGTCTAGGTGGGTGCTGCGATCCATAATCATTATTTTTCACCATTCCTGATATAATAGAATCATCCTTATTTATCATAATGGGAGAAAATCAGTTTTTACTGGCTAAACTTGTTAACAGGCAGCCTATGGGAGGCAACAGGGTAAGAGATGTGAAGAAGAAGTGCTCTCAGACTCTTTCCTGCTCGCCACCATGAGAACCCTGGCAAGCCACTGGAAACTTTGAACTCCAAGTTCTCAGATGCGTGAAACATGCCACAACTCAACTCACAGAATCACATGAACAACAAACCCCCTGCACACACCATCAACTCCATTCCTTCCTTGCTAATGTATGCATTGTGGGCTTCCAGGCTCATGGCTGGATACTAGGAGGGAAGAAGGCACTTTTCCAACACTGCAAATTGTAGTTCTGAACAATCAAGTAGAGGATTCGGGAAAAGCATAGCAGAAACAGAGGAAGAGAAAGCATATAAAGTTATAAAAGTATTTCCAACGCCTGTGTGGAATGCGTGTCGAAAACAGACTCTTACTATTGATGGTGTCGCAGACAACAATTCATGTTAAACAATGACGCTACAAAATTTTTATCTTCCTTTGACATATTCCTTCAGCTTATTGACTACAACTGCATTAATTTCACTCTCATAACGTGGGGTGTATGTGTGTGTGTGTACACATGCGCATCTCCACTTTGCATCTGTGAAATAAAAAAATGTAAATCCATCTGAAGGAGTGACTTCAGAAAGAGCACATCTGGCCATCACTGAGAATAAAAACTAAGGGCTCAACAAGTAAAAGGAAAACCAAGACAAACCATGACAAACTGTGAAAACTGGAATATTAATAGAGCCCACAAAACAAAAAGAATGGACAGACACTCATAGAAGAAGCATTTATCATAATGTGTTGCTGAAAGCCAGGATTGGAGTAGCCGTCTTATAAGAATTAAGACCAGCCAATACTAGAAAACACTTCTGGAGTAGGAAAGGGAACTGTCTTTGTTAGAATAAAATAATATGGCGCCCCTCCCAGTTGGAGTACAGGGTGCAGAGGCTGGGCCAGACCCAGAACCTGACCAGGCGGGTGACAGGGAAACCAGGTTTACCGTCTACCAGATGATGACTGCCAGAGGGGAAGAGAGTTGATCTGGTGGAATGATCTCGAGACTCAGTCAGTGACAAGGCAGCTCCAAGGGCCCTCTGGGGCAGCCTGGCACACAGAATGCACGTGTGGTGACCAGCATTGCTGTGCATGTGTGGTCCAAAGGGTATGGGACCTCCCCCCAGTTTTAGAAATAAAAACTAATTTCCAGGAATGCAGACTCTCACCCTGAGCTCCCCGGGAAACCTTACCTTCAGCGGTGCCGGAGAGCCCGTCAGCTTTGAAGTTGCTGGTACTTTTCTTCCTTCGGTGCTTCTTTCTGTTCGCGTGAGGGGAGGGGGGCGGGTCGAGCTTGGGGCTGGTGGTGCTGGAGATACTTGGGCTGGAGCACACGGAGTCGCCCAGCCCTGTGTCTGCCATGGGACCAGAAAAGGCAAAAGAATGCAAAAGTTAACACTTATAAAGCCAGCTTCGCAAAAATACGAAAGCAACGTTCCTCCACTATCCTACCAGGTCCCACAAGTACTTTGTTAGGCGAGCTCACTGGACTGGAGGCCCCAAAGCATGCAGTATTAAAAGTTCATGGGGCTGTTTCCTCTAACGTACCACCTCCCATTTAAAAAAAAAAAAATACTTTGTTTCTGGATCACTGTAGGCTATGAATTTAAAATCCTCCACTTTGCATGGCTGGGGTTCTGGAAAAGCAAAGTGAGAAGTCCATGCTTTTTACTAGTTTATTTTTCTCGTCCCATAATTACCCTGATCCATTAGGAGAGAAATCAAGATGTCTGTGGACGCATACGAAGGTGTCCTGGGGGTGGCTCGGCCTCTGTGCACGCACACAGGGGAGAGGGAGTCCCAATTAGCTCACTTCCACCCTCAATGTCATGTACAACTGCAGCATGGGTTTATTATTAGTGAAAAACAGCATGCGTCTCTCTCCCCATAGCAGACCTGCCAATTTTTGATTCTCTTGACTCTTCGGGACCTACCCTGTGTCAGGCACATTGACAGGCAATGGAATTGTCCCAATGTCCCAATGACCGTTCCCCCATCCCTACCCTTGAGGAGCTGAAGCCTCACCACGGAGGCAGATGAGGAGAACGGGCAAGGACGACTGGCCTCTGCGATGGCAGGGCTGGCCTTTTGCTCCTTCACTCTGCCCCTTGGGCAACCACTCAATTCAACGCACCACTTTCATTCCCAACTGTGCATCCTAATTCTTTGGTCACTCTACAGCTGTAATGCTCTCTCCCAGATGAATGCTTCTCATTCCTGCACTCGGAGGTCTGCCAGTTGTCTGGCTCTAACCAGCATGCCTGTCCCCCAGCGCAGCTGTAGATGCCCTTTCCCTGTTTGATGCTGAGCATGGAGTGTGGGCACCATTCCCAGCAAGCTTCCCCAGGTCCCTCCCATCACCTGGTACTTCTTTCTAAAGGCACGCACCCATGTTTCTTTGCAAGATGTTAAGAACATACACTTGACTCACATGTGGTCAAGTAACAGCTGCCACCACATGGGGTGGCTCTATGTCTGCGCCCTCTAGTCCCTTCGGAGACTCTTTCCCTCTGCCTGCCCTGTAACAGCACACGGCCTTGAATGCAACGGCCAAGGAGTCCTGGTGCATCACGTGGCTGGCACATCCCCCTGCACCTCGGTGATCCTTCACCTGGAAGGATCTGAAGGCAGATCCTTCACTGCCTTGCCCACTCGTGCTGAGCACACAACCTGGTACCTCCACCTACATGTCACCAGGGAAGACATTAACCTGGGAGGAGTCCAAACAAAGCCCCAGCTTGCAGACGCAGCAATACTGAGCTGGAAGCACTGGTGAACACTGGCGCAACAAGACCGGAGGACATCATGTCGTGCGTGTCCCGCTCACAGATCCTCGGACTCACCCAAGAAGAAAAGTGCTGAATGCTCTTGTCAAACACCTCACTGGAGGCCTACACAGCTGCCCCACTGACACACATTTTTGACAATTTTTGAATAGTAAAGGGAAATCCACTTCATGTTTTCTCTCCTTAATGAGCTACCCTGTTTAGTCTACACACACACAAAGCAATTCTCCAACAGCCTAATTTAGGATCCACCTGGAAGGTCACTTCAACTCCCTGAAATACTAGTAATAATTCGCCCTCCTGGGGAACAAAATGACGTGTGTTGGTGTCCAGGAATCTCCCTCCATTCCAGGTGCAGAAAACTGTTCCTAAAGTCACTAACAGGGACTTGGTGATTTCATTCCCAAGTTTTCTGGGCATCTTGGAATATTTGTAATTCAGGGAGAAATCTCTGATTCACCTGAAGGAAGTGGCTGAGGGGCATCCTGGGGCAGCAGTGACACCTGCCTTCCCCCGAGGGACCCTGAGCAGTCTCTCCAGCCTTCTTTTCCATGGGCACCTTCCACACCAGCACATCCTTCCACCTGTGGCTCCAGCGTTCCACTGCGCCACTGGCTTCCAACTGGAAACCCCTGCCCAGGGACACCTGGTCATGTCCACAGATGTTTCTGGTTATCAGACTGAGACAAGGTGGAGGTGTATGGACATAGAGCAGGTAGAAGCCAGAGATGCTAAAAAATGTCCCAGGACACACAGGACAGCTCCCACCACTAAAAACTGACTGGTCTAAAACGGCAACAGGGAGAGACCCGCAGGATCTGAATTGCTCTGTTCCTCGTCACCGGCTCAGTCTCCTGGTCTGTCCGTGTGAACCCCCTCACGACAATGAACCTCTTGGAACACTTGCTTTACCTGCTTTGAGTTGGCCCCCCCACCCAGGTGATGGCATTGGCGTCCCACTCCCAGGAAGCACACAGGTGGGGGCAGGTGTCCTTCCTCACTAGGCACTGCTTGCAGACCACTCCCCCTCCAGCCCCATCCCGTGAAGCAATCCCCCCATCCCGCCAAGACTGCTCACACCCACTGACCCCTGGCATCTGCTCCTTCTTCGCTCCCTGTTTTAGCAGCAGCTCACCCCACCCTCACTCAGGAGTGACAACATCCAGCTCCTCCTAGGTGCTCACTTCAGCATCCTGGCCTCTTAGGCCTCTGCCTCGCTCGATAAGCTCCCTCCTTCCCTCTGGCCCTCATGGTCCTGACTCAGGCCCGCCACAGGAAGCCAGCTTCACTGGGTCTCATTTTTTTGTCTCCCAGGTCACTTACACCAGGACCCACACTCTGAGGGTTAATCCAGCAGCACTCTTCGCCCTCTACCCTTCCTGATCACTCATCCAACTTGACTGCTAACTTCCACCCCCACCTGCTTGGCGCCTACGCTCAGGCCCTGCTGGAGGGACACCCTCATTCCCACTGGGGCTGGACCACTGGCCTACCCTTCCATCTATTACATTCCCGGAGTAAAGCTGCTTCCCGCTCTCCAATAGGCTGTATCACACCCCCTCCATTCTCCCCAAATGCCCCACACCTCACTCCATCCCCCATAAAGACATCACCTTTCATTTTGCTGAAGACAGAAACAAAACAAAACAAACAAAAAAACCCAACCAAACCAAAAAAGCAGCAATCAGAAGAGAGCATCCTCCTTCCTGTCCCTGGTTCTCATAGATCGGGGGCCTCCTCGCTCTGGGAGCTGGCTCCCAGCCCATTTTGCTCCTGGAGTGACTTTGCCCCAGTCTTTCATACCCTCTCTGTCCTGCATCAAACGTGCTGTATCACTGCACTGCCTCCTGTTTCTAACAAAAACCTCCGTGACCCTGTGCCCTTGCCCAGCCACCACCTGATTTCTGATCCTCTTTAAAGCAGAGCCCCTGAGCCTCTTTGCTGCTTGTGTCTGGTCAAGGCTGATCCCACTCCCATCAAGCTTGCCCCACCAGCCGCTGCCCTGCCTTCACAGTGGCCACCAGCACTATCACAGCCCCATCAGTGGACAAGCCGCGGTGGGCTTGCGTGGGTCTTGGCAGCACCCCACACGGCTCACAGCCCCCACCTTTGTGGACAAGCCAGAGTGGACTGGACGCCCGTCAGATCACAGGGAAACTAGGAAGGTGTGGGTTTTAGAACCTAGAGGAGAGGCCCTCAGAGAGCTGCTGTCCACGGCTACCTGGCATCCAGTCCCACTGCCTCACGTGGCAGGTGGTGTCCCTACGTGGAACGCTCCGCCACCCAGGTGTTTGTGTCCCCGGCGACGAACGCCTTCCTGGCAAGATGTGACCCTTACGGAGGCAGAGACTTGCTTCAGCCTCTTTAGCAGGATGCAGCCGGGCACAGATTTGGGATGAAAATGGGAGTTGCATGCATATTTGTGGCATTAAGTTTTATAAGGAGTTGAGGTCCCTTTGAGGAACACTCACACAGGTGGATGGTGCTTTCTGCTGCGTAACAGAGAAGCACTTGGTGACTTCCTGGTAAAATACGGGCACACAAGTTTCCAGCCATCCGGGACCTGTTTCAAGGTGAGCTTCTAACTCTGTGAATGAGTCTACGCACACTGAGAGTAGGAAGCCTTAAATACGCCACGTACACTGCATGAGCATGGAGTGCTGCATGAGCCAACTCTGGCCAGGCACCTGAGGTTCAGCACCAAGAAAAGGGCAAAAGGGGCGCCTGGGTGGCTCAGTGGGTTAAGCCTCTGTCTTTGGCTCGGGTCATGATCCCGGGGTCCTGGGATCGAGCCCCGCATTGGGCTCCCTGCTCAGCCGGGAGACCGCTTCCCCCTCACTCTCTGCCTGCCTCTCTGCCTACTCGTGATCTCTGTCTGTCAAGTAAATAAATAAAATCTTAAAAAAAAAAAAAAAAGAAAAGGGCAAAGTCCCTGCATCACAGAGCTGATTTCTATGAGTGAAGGAATGCCTATTTAATTTCTTGCTCAATGTCTTCATGAAGAACTTTTTCTGGGGCCATGTTATCGGAACAGAGAGGGAAGGGGGGCTCATGCGTGCAGTGGGCACGCCAGCTGCACGCAGGTCACTGTATGCTCACGCAAGTGACCCTGCACACAGACAGAAGTAAGGTGAGGCGCCATCTGTATGCCCACCTTCCTCGGTGGAGCAGGCTAACCGGCTGGCCTTGTAGGTCCCCTTGAGAAACAGAAATGTGACTTGGGACAACTGGTTGGGCCATGAGGACTCAGAATGAGTGTGTGAGGGTGACAGGGAGACAAGGTACCACTGAGTTAGAAGGCCCTGGGGCGGGGTGGGGCTGGGGACAAACAGAACACAGGAGCCCTGGCCACTGGAGGGAGGGAAGGAGATAAGCTTTTAAGATGACACAGGGTTGTCATAATGAAAACAGAAAAGCAGGATCAGCATTTGTAAACCCCATAAATTCTATTTCAGACAAGAAGGAAAATGAATAAAGTAACCGATGGGCACAAAACACTTTGGAATCCATGAGTACTTCCCACCTGCTGCCTGATTGCTAGTGCACCAGGTAGTGGGCCCAGGTCCCAC